ACAAATATATATTATTATACGTCGCAATAAATCATCTTCGCTAAATGGCGCGCCTCGCCATGATCCTACTTCGCTGTCTTCATTCTCTTAGCAGGTGTAGGTGACCCAGGCTCCAAGTCATCCTCCAGTTCGTCTTCGAGGTCTACTCCATCTGTACCCTCAAATACTCGATAGGCATGCTTCTTCCTCCTCCATTCCGCTCGCTTGATCATATCTTCTTGATGCTCAACTGCAGTCATATTTTCCTCGTTCTGATCGAGCCATTGAATGAATATGTCTAACTTCATAAGGACTGTCTTGTGAATGTCATCGAACTTTTGATTTTTGTATGCATCGTATAAAGTACGGTGGAGCGAAAGGACGAGTGCAGAGAACTTGGCGAAGTAGGGAGAAAAGCATTCCACCAGTTCTTTCATAAATGTAAAATTGGTGAAGTATCTGCGCTTGTTGTTGCCAAGCTTGACCATATCTTCTTCCTCGAACAAATCGTGATTTAACAAAGCTATCTTCTGATCATATTTGTTGAATTTGACGTCCAGCTGTCCGAGTCTTGAAGTGGATGGGCCACTCCTAGTAATACATATCCAGCAAAGAAGCCAGAGGAAAGATTCGAGATCGTGAATTGGGGAATGATATATTGGGGCTGTGGTTTTCTGGTGCGTATCGGTGTTGGCTTCATTTTTTGCATTGGAGTCAGAATTTTGATTCTGTAACATCGTGAACAACTCGTCATTTCCTTGTGGATCTTCTTGCAACATCATAGCGAAGCCTGTCAATAGCTCAACTGACATGAAGGCGGGTGTTCCCTGATAAAACGCTATTATTTTAGCCTACTGGGGCAGAGTAGTTTACTGTTATAACGAATACACTTACAGTACGGGTATCACACTCCGTGGCAGTATGGACGTCGAAATTACCTATGGTGTAGTCCTGGTCAATCAACACTCCTTTGTTAGGAGAGGTGATTTCTGCATCTGTGATCACGACGTTACCACGGCTAACATCGCGGTGAAGATACTTCATCAGTACCAACAGCCAATGTCCTGACCCGAAATCAGTCATCTAAATTGAATCAAGAGGATGCAAGGACCTAAACTCACCATTCACCGCACATCTGAATACGACAACAAGTTCTTTCCTGCTCACGAACTCGGTGATGGGGTGACCGTATGAGCGCAACAATAGCCTGTGGTGTTCACGATGATAAACGGGTTGAGATGCGCCTCTTTCCAGCATGTCAATCCAGCGACGTAGGTCAGCTATATCAATAGGCAAAGTATTGGCATAACGTTGCATCGAGGCTTCGATGTACGTTTGAAATTTATCAGCAGGGGGATCATGGATAACCTGAAGACGGAGGGGTTTCGCATCCGGTGTGGGTTCGAGACTGCGTCTCGCATTCGATGTAGAGTCAATTTCGTTGTCGACCTTTACCGTTTCATAAGTGTACAATTTTGCGATTCCATCGACAGGGCCCTGACCCTCGTAGTGTTCACCCTCCGTAGGGCGTCGAATGTCATGCCAATTGTCTTTGAAGACAAAGATCTGTGAAGCAACCGGGATGATGTTGGAGTTGCGGCTAAAGGATGGCGAGGGGAAAACTTACCTCTCGTTTCTCTCGCGGTATCCCTTTCTCTACCTCGTCTCGTTTGTGAGCAAGCCAAACCCGCCCTGCGCGCCCTTTGACGACTTCACCACGATTGAGACTAATCGCAGTGAATAGCACAAAATCTTCTCGTTGTGGTTTACCTTCCGGTCCATAACTTGGCATCTCTACCACCCAACAAATATCAGGCAGTACAGGGTGCTTGGAAGCCTTCTCTTCCATCATGACCGTCCTGGGCATCTTCCAAGGAAGATACTCTTCCTTTGCGATACTGTCGTAAGCACGAAGAGTGGGATCATAGCCGTGCTCAACGGGTTTCATGAGAGCACAGCTAGCGATACATTGGATAAAGGCCAGGGGACTCTGTGAAGATGTTAGCACACTGCAGTCAAACATCAATTGAAAAGGCTCACCTGATGAATATCGACCATCTCCGATCCTATCGTGCCAGCTCTATCACAATGCCAGAACGTCATACCTGTGCGGTGAAAAGTGAATCCAAATAAGAACCGTCGAAAGGGCTGCTCTTTGAAGACTTGACGAGCATACTGAAGCATCTGCAGCAATGTAGGCGTCGCTTCAGGTGACAATTTCTTCAGTTCGAGGATGATTGCAATCCGATACCACCAAGGCTCTTCGGCCGTAGCATCGTCCAACTCCGTTTCTGTCGACGCATACTCGGCAATGATGTCTGGCCGAGTATTGGTATTCGTTCCCTTCCACAAAGTTGATGGTGCGATGCTATGTTTGTCTTTCCATACCAGTCGCACATCATCATGGGTGTTGTTTGGGACCAATTCTGTGATAGCATTCAAGATGTCGGTCAAGGGAGCATACAGAGAGGCTTCGTTTGGCGGTTCACGGGGCAGATGAGTCCAGTGAGCTGGGTCTACTTCGCCGGTAGCAGAGATCATTTCGGGAGTCCATAGGCCATTTTCTTGGAGTGTGTCGAGAATCTGCTGGCACTCGGTTTCGTCGATCTTGTCGAACATGTTGTCGATGAAATCAGGGTGATTGTCGTAGATGCAGTCCTCCATCTCAACCTTGATAAATTCTTGAGCTTCCTTGACGGTAGTTGCATGATTCTTGATTCTGTATGTGCCAAGAGAGATGGGAGTATGAGTGTTATGTTGTGCAACCCGCTTCTTAGCGGGACGGAGGGGGGTTTGGGCAGACATACTGGGGATGGGATGCGTTTAACATCTCTTCAGAGGAGCGTTTTAAATGATTCTGTGTGTGTGGATTATCACCAGATTTCGCCATTGTTGTTGGATTTGTGGATTGTCTGTGGCCAACGGCAGTCCAACTGCACGCGTCGTGGTTGTTCGAGTTCAAGTTGAAATTACCAGTTTGGGCGTAACTGTGGATTGTGCCGTTCGTCGTAATCATCCGATTGGCTGATCTCGCCATGAGGCATCACAAAACGTGTCAGAGCTAAGCGAGGCAGGGAAATGCCGAGAATACCCAATCACATCGGAAACCACCGAATCACAATGTACAAAGGAAATATTTAGTCGATGAACTTGAACTTGAAGTCGAACAATGGTAAGGCGTGGGGGTCTGCAAGTAGCCTGCTCCGAATCCACAAACTTAATCATGACAGTCGAATAAATGTCGCCAAGGCACCTCAAATCATCAAAAACGCCTTTCCAACATTTCGGATAGTCCTCACCATGGCCCCGCCTCCCGTGCTCTGGAATTGAAGCGCACCTTGGGACAATCCACCGATCCCCATACTCCCTTCAATTCGAAACAAAGAACAACTGTGGATGAAGCACCCATACATGAAATGCAAGGCAGTAGTACTTAATTACGGCGAATCATCTTGATTTTATCGACCCCATGTGAGCAGGAGTGCCTGTCAACTCTGAAAGTTCTCAAACACGACGATACTTAGAATTATTCTAGTAAAGTTATCAAGAAAGGACACTGGATTGACTTTTCGTGAGATCCTGCCGCTGAGAAATCTCTCTACAACTTGAAGCCACTGGTCCAAATCTTCAACGCGATCTCTGACCTGCAGTATCTTATGCCCCTCCGCATATGATTAAGATGGTCCGGAAGGATATTTACAGTCATCTTATACCCCACTGATGTGTTTCTCGTCGCGATGATATATTTTGAGCAGGTAATGCGGCCTTCATGACTGTCGAGATTCGCATTCTTCGTGAATGGGTGCCTTGATCAAATGCATAGACAATTGCATAGTCTGCATGCTGCATGAGATGCTTTTACTTCAAGTGGAATTTGAGTCAGAGCATTTCCAAGTCAAACTTTGCAAGTTGGTTCAAGTTGAACTTGAACTTTGAACTTTGAACTTGAACTTTCGAAATGTTCAGTAGCCACGTGTGCTGACGTGATGTACTCAGAGGGTTGACTTATTGGGCGCTTCTGTTCTCGACAGCTTGATTACCTACCACCACCTTCTCATTCAATCGACTTGCAAGGATGTCGAAACATCACCCCGGTACGACGATCATTACCTTCAAGAAGCTGCTATGGTGTACTCATCGTTTTCCTTAGATCTTATCATGTGCAGACGTCAACCAGGCATCGGTAAGCCCTTTCCTTGTTCTTCAATCACAATTCCCTTACCTTGTCTTTCATTTGTGGGTAGCCATTGGTCGTCTGTGTGAGAAATGTGATGGAAAATGGTGAGTTCATGTTCGCTGTAACTGCACTGTCCAACTTATATATGTCTGACTGTGCATAACGTTATTCAGCCCAGTCTGTGACTCCTACGTACGCCCCGAAACTCTAGTCCGAATTTGTGACGAATGTAATTTTGGTACTTACGGTGGACGATGCATTATTTGCGGTTCTCCTGGTGAGTACTTTCATCGCATTCGTTCATAGCACATTGATATTCAATTGCGAACCCGCTCGGTACTAGGGATTTCTGACGCGTACTATTGTGCGGAATGTACGCGGCTAGAGAAAGATCGCGATGGTTGCCCAAAGATTGTGAATCTAGGTGCGAGCAGGACAGATCTGTTCTATGAGAGACGTCGTCTGGGTAAGCTTTTGGTATTATGATATCGCGGATCAATTAACTAATGATACTGCACTCTAGGTTTCAAAAAGGGTTAGCAAAAGGAATCTCACTCTATCTTCCGGCATTCTTTCGTGTACAATATTCTCATCCATTTTGTGTCATCAGCACTAGTAATGTCTATTACCGCTGCTCCCGTACAGAGTATCATCTATTGTACTTCATTACTGCTGAGAAAACGTTTCAAGTCTTGCATACTGTGCTCGTATGGTAAAGGTCTTGATTATCATAATCCTCTTTATAATTGGAATCTAGAAAGGAAACGATAAAATTATTCAAACATCACAAAACCGTAACAGCAATAATCTGAACGGTAAACTCTTCAAATTCTACAAAAACAATGGGCCTGGCCGGGAATTGAACCCGGGACCTCCTCCATACAATTGCAAGCAACCCTAAGAAGGAATCATACTACTAGACCACCAGGCCTTATTTCCATGACATTATATGACAAATATAAATGCTTAGATGACAAAGCAACACGCGACGCGTCATTCCATCGCGTCCAAACTCAGTCACAGACTCTATTACAACTTCCTCTCAACGACAACCTCCTCATCGCTCATAGTACTATCTATCTCAGCTAACCATCCGACATTGACCATCAACATGTCGGACCAAGCATCATCTTCGACACAAGCTATCGACCAGAGGAAGCAGGATGCTCTGAAGGGTTACAGAGAGGTTCGTAATCGACTCAAATACCCTTCATGATCATATTGTAACAAAATTGCGGACAAACAGAAAATGCGGCAACATGAGAATAGTAGCGAAAGCTTGAAGAATCGTAAGACAAAGCAGCTATTTCCATGTTTTGGATTTACTTATACTTGCTGCAGTTCGTTTCTCTTTGAAGGACCTCGAGAAGGATTATGAAAAGACCGAAGACGATATCAAAGCTGTTCAATCCGTAGGACAGATTATTGGTGAAGTTATGAAGCAATTAGACGATGAAAGATGTAAGTCACAGCAGCCGTGATCTTCATAGCCGTCTATTCATCGTTTTGTATAGTTATCGTGAAAGCCTCCTCTGGTCCCCGCTATGTGGTATCCCATCGACCAGCATTACCCGTATCCAAACTCAAAACCGGAACTCGTGTTAGTCTGGACATGACAACATTAACCATCATGAGAATCTTACCTCGTGAAGTCGATCCTATGGTATACAAGATGAGTCTGGAAGATCCGGGAGGTGCTTCGTTTGCAGGCATCGGTGGTTTAGGTGAACAAGTTCGCGAATTACGTGAGGTAAGATATATATTTAGTTTATGCGGGTCCTGTTCCAATTCATCTAACATCTTACTCTGACATTTAGGTGATAGAACTTCCACTCTTGAATCCAGAACTGTTCCAAAGAGTGGGAATCAAACCTCCCAAAGGAGTCTTACTTTATGGTCCTCCGGGAACTGGAAAGACACTCCTCGCAAGAGCAGTTGCGGCAACACTAAACACCAACTTCCTCAAAGTCGTCTCCTCAGCCATCGTAGACAAATACATCGGAGAATCAGCGAGGGTTGTTCGGGAAATGTTCGCTTATGCTAAGGACCATGAACCTTGTGTTATTTTCATGGACGAGATTGATGCCATTGGTGGAAGAAGATTTTCGGAGGGTACTAGTGCTGATCGAGAGATTCAGAGGACGCTAATGGAGGTATACATCTAGTGTATCTATATCTTTTCTGGTTACTCACTTGCGTTTTTTTAGTTGCTCAATCAAATGGATGGATTCGACTCACTGGGCCGAACCAAAATGATAATGGCTACGAACAGACCTGATACGCTAGACCCTGCTTTACTGAGACCTGGACGATTGGATCGAAAGATTGAAATTCCACTTCCCAACGAACAAGCAAGACTGGAGATTCTGAAGATTCACGCTGCTCCAGTAAATAAGGGCGGAGAAATTGATTACGAGGCCATTGTTAAGGTAGTTCTCTGCTTGTGGAATAATTGGGAAGGAAAACTAATGTCCCCATTCTAGCTCTCCGATGGTTTCAACGGAGCTGATTTACGAAATGTCGTTACCGAAGCAGGCATGTTTGCTATTCGTGATGATAGGTAAGCAAACATCTTGTTCTCGCTTCTGTTGCCTCTTCTCGTTTCTTCATAAACTAATATCTGCATATCTTAGGGAATACATCAACCAAGAAGATCTTACTAAAGCAGCTAGGAAGGTCGGAGAGGCCAAGAAACACGAGAGTGAGTGACTCTTTTCACACATCTTTTGCCTTCACGACTGATGAAATTTCTTTGTGTATAGGTAAATTGGAATACTCTGCCTAGGGTCCTGTCTCGTTTATCCTTCTTCTTGGTGTTGTTGATTCATCCATAATTTCGGACTGTATAGCTGTATTATTCTCAATGTCTTTTAGAAAGGAGTTGGTTGGTTAGTTGCTTTCTTTCAATCTCATGACTCTCAGTTTCACATTGGACGGTCCGTTACAGCTGTTTCAATGTTTGGACATGTTTATCAACAGCCTTAGAATTCAACAAGGACAAACAACGCCTTTGAACTATATAGGTGCTGAATTGCATGAGATTGATGAATCTCGGAATTCTCGAAGCTCCCTGGATATGACACTATGCAAGTGTTCCTTTCCCTCTCCCGTTTCCAGTAGTACTGTAATTGAACATTCGAGTTTTGAAGCTTGAGGATCTTGTTATTTCAATTGTCGGGTCATGTGACTACATCACGTGAGCGTGTTAAGCTTGTTTACCAGCCCGGGGAGCCCTGCTAGCTACTAGCCTTGTTTCGAGAACACGATTCTGGTTTTTTACCTCGCATGTAATCTTTGAAGTTGCATCTGAATCGTGGTCAAGACCAGCTACATGTCCTCTCTCAGTATCATTAGGCACAAGTTTACTTAATAGTCTTTCCAATGGGCAGTGATTCATTTACATCATGATGTATTCTCCAACTCTTGAACGAGACAAAGCCTTTCGTTATCCTCAAATTTCCCTCTCAAAACATCGTAGATCTGTCTTTCAAACGTCATACATACCACTGGTGCGTCATATTATAATGACACTGTCCATCGACTTATTCTCCTACAGCGACAAGAGAATCTCAGGTATCTCCCTTCAGCCGCCATGGAATGACATTGATCGACAATGGTTTCTTACACTCTCCATTTGCCTCTATGAGCCAAAAGATGCGATCTGATTCCTTCACATTAGTTCTATTCGGAAAACAAGCTGTATGCTGCTCTATCATCGAATTTAGACACCTCGAGACCACATCCGACATCTCAATATTAAAAATTTTCTTCGATATCTTCATCTTAACTCCAGGATTCAGGAGAGAAATATGCGGGACCATGTGAGGAAACTACATTTTCGCGCTCTCTTCCATCCCAATTTTATCTGGTCTTCTCCTTTGAAACATTTCATTGCAGGAATATGCCCTCGCATAGCTATCGGAAAGTTGAGGTTACGTTAGAGTTAGATCCAAAATACTACCATGGTAGTTGTATGGTTGGTCGGATCGGTTTTATTCAAATCCAGGTGCGGATTTTCTGATCCTTTCCGCCAAGTACTTACCAGGCCTTCTTAGAAAACACCGATGAAACTTTCTTTCTTTGTTGTGGCATCTCACAAACGAGAGCAGTTTTAGTCAGGTAGTTATAAAATAAGATCTAGGCTACCGCTGTCAGTGCGCATCTCGTCTAATATCCATTTGACTGACGCTACTTTTTTTCATGTACATGTGGATGTGCTTTCTGGAACAGGATGGAATATCTATTCTAGATTATGAACAAGTCCTACTTATCGACCCCTCATACCCTTCATCCTATTTTGTGCTTTCCCTTTGCCACCAACTCAACGTCTTTATGCTTCTGACCGTGGCATCAATCTAAAGTTCCATTTTGGACACAATGACACCCTTATATTTCTGCCTCGAATCGTGGGAATCAGACGACTATTGAATGTGAGTCTTGATTTATTCCCGACTTATATTTACAGTAGTATCCTCACTGCTACAGTGAGTTCAGAGATTCCGTTCTCACATATGGCCAATTGAAGTTGTCGCTCGATGATGAAATCATCCATGTTCTGTATTTTGAACCTTGGCGCATGACGCCCAACGGTAGTATTCAGGGTTATAGCGACTCCATTCGCAACTAATAAGAAGTACAGACCACATGTCTACCCGCCATCCGAGTTCATCTGTTTAGCAGTGAGTACGGAGTGTCTTGACATCTTTCTCACTTCATATAACTGATTGTTTGTCAGGTTGTATAGGTATTGGGTACTCCGTGTTCTCGGTCTTACCACATCAGGAGAGGACAGGATGTCAGCAGGGATGATGAAGGTTTACCTGCACATGCTACATAGCATTCTATGCCAGTATGTCTAATGCTCCGACAGCATCTTGTCGCTCCCTGTATTGCTTCTTGGAATGGAGCCGCCTCGGGTTCATTGTGGCCACTTGAAACCGAAAGGTTTCCCATTCGGTAATGCTTTCGTGTCATTATTTTATCCACTCATCTGACGAGTTCCGCTTGATCGTCTAGTCATGTCATGTCAAACTTATGTTTCGACACGTACGCTCGACTTTATCTTTCATTTTATTCATGGGATTCTCACAGGGTGACGTATACAGTTATCATATACCTTAAAGTCAAATATTGGTGTTCGGGTGAGTATCAAGCTCCATTTTACCCGTATGAAACTATCATGTACTAACGACTTCGACTTGTATGTGACAATCGCCATTGTTCCCGATTTGTGTTTCTTGGGTAAACTTACATCTATCGCATGCCAGTGGATTCAATCGTGTCTCCGGTCTAGCAGGGATCCGGATTCCAGCGTTCCATGCAACAATTCGACTTTTGAAGCCACATGCTTCCAGATTCGTGAAGTTTTGAAGACCTTCCGTTCGACTAGCATCCGAGTTCGACGGAAACCTAGTCCTATTGGAGCCGGCTGACTGCTCTCCGCGCTTCTCCATTCACCGAACACGAAAGAACGGGTTCGCACCGATGGTATTTTTGCCAGTCAAGGAACTCAGGAATAAGGATGGCGTCAAGGCTCCCGGTCCAGGACTCTTCCTGACTCTCTAACACAAGAGCTATTTTGGAATCCTGTATTTTCTTCTCACAATTTGAAGCACCTCCACATGGCGTTTTCAAATACTGTCCGGTATACTCGTAGCAAAGACCAATGAAATACTATCATCAAAAGGTTGTCTTTGTATTCAAATTTGAATTGTAATTCTCAGTATTGGAAAACCACATGGCTATCGAACGAGGGATTCCGCCGGGAATCCTGAATTCTATTTTTCCCACAGGATTTCATAGCGCCGCGGCGACGAAATCGTGACTGCGCTCGGATGTCTACGAGTGGCGGGGAGGTATTCGTGTGCTTGTCTCAATGTCAATCTGTTACTGACTATGCGCATACTCACGTACTGGTTAGATGAGCCCAGG